TTAAACATACAGACATAACACAAAGTTCATAACTCTATTAATCTTAGCTTCGCTTCATTCTGCATTGTCTTATTACTCCAGGTTAGGCAGAAATGAGTAGGCGTGGTTAGTCAACAATATTTCAGTACCGAGGGGTATGTCATCACTTAGGCTGTACTTACAAGTGCGGGTCAATGCAGATCAGTATGGTGTTCCAAGAGACAACAGTACTGCGTAAATTGTCTCAGCTCAAATTCTCGGACAGGGTTGTGGGTCAGTGTTCACCAGTGCGAGCAGAAGGCTGGTCTTCACAGCATCACTAGAGAGGGCGATCTGTCTCGTGGAGGGGTGGGCAGCACTGCCACCAGTCGAAGACAGTCCACTCAGCAGAACCAGGACTTGTCTGTAAACACTTCTACTTCTGGCGAGGTCACATGTCGAAAGATTTAATGGCATCACACGCCAGCATTGTAGCTGAAGCCAGCGGCGATAACAAGCAGTTTTGTAGATGATTTCAGCTCCCTACAGCTGAAGACACAATTTCGGTGTCCGCCCAAGGCTTGAGATGCACATCTGATCCGATGCTGAATCTCTTCATCGATGTCTGCGGTGTTGGACAGGTTGGAGCCGAGATACTGAAAGTGGGTAACATTAGAGAGTGTACAGGTTGACAATCCCTTATCCGAAATCCTTGGGGCCAGAGGCATTTCGGATTTTGGAATTTTTTGGTTTTCAGAATGTTTTTTTTTTTTTTTTTTTTTTCAAAAAAAAAAAACTTTCGGTTTTTAGAGCTTTTCGGTTTTTGAAATTTCAGATAAAGGGTTGTCAACCTGTAGTACCGTTAAGCTACATGGATGGTGGAGGTGTGTCTGAGCCAGGGGCAGGTTGAAAGAGCATCTAAGTATTACGTACATTCACCTCAAGGCCGAAGTGTGCATACACGCCTGCATAGGTGTTCAGGATCTCCTGTAGGTCGTGTTCAGTATGAGCAACAAGGGTGAGGTCGTCTCCATGCTGAAGTTCAGCAATGGAAGCTGCCGACACCTTTGTTCTTGCCTGGATTTGTCTTATGTTCAAAAGACCCCCTTTACCCGGTACTCGATGTTCACCACACTGGCTAAATCGGCACTGGCACGAGTGAGGAAGGCAGCCAAGAAGATGGATAAGAGAGTTGGTGCCAGTACACACCCTTGTTTAATCCCCGTTTGGATGGGGAAGAACTCTGACTGGGTGCCGTTGTGCAGGACACTGCCGTTCATGCTATCGTGGAGTTGCCTCACAATGGAAATGAATTTTGGTGGGCACCCAAAACGGCTGAGGGTCCACCAGAGGGCTTCCCTGTTGACCGAGTCGAAGGCCTTGGTTAGGTCGATGAAAGCCATGTACAGGTCACGACGCTGTTCTCTGCACTTTTCCTGTATCTGCCGGGCAGCAAAGATCATGTCAGTGGTGCCACGTGATGGTTTAAAACCACATTGAGACTCTGGGAGGAAATTTTCCGCCTCAGGAAGAAGTCTGGTTAGGAAGACTCGGGCGATAATCTTGCCAGCTACGGAGAGCGGCGAGATCCCTTGGTAGTTGCCACAATCTGACTGGTCTCTCTTGTTCTTATAAATATTAACTCCTGATTTATGTACTGTACAGCCCTGTAAATGAATTGAACGTATATTATTATGTCTAAATCACATATAAGTTTATATATTTTCAGCCACTGGCTGCAACTCTATTAATAAACCGTTTATTATTATTATTATTATTATTATTATTATTATTATTTCTACTACACACACATACACACACACACACACACACACACACACACACACACACACACACACACACACACACACACACATGCACACTACATCCTGACCATCGAGGTCAAGGCACCTGGCGCTCCTCTGGGCAGCCAGGTCAACTGTTGGCCCATACCAACTCCCTCCCTGAACCCTCCTCCCCACGGAATATCAACAAGTTCTCAGAAGTTACTATTTCATTTAGGAAAGGAATGGAACCAGTGTTAAACAGAGGTGAACAGTGGTGAACAGTGCTTAAGTCAGTGAAACAACTCAACAGTAACAGTCGCACCCAAGTTAACCTTCACACAGTGAGGTCCCAGGTACCCAGTGATAATGGCCCGTGAGACCCAACAACCAGCGATGTGTTAATCCGTCTACTATAGGAAGGCCTGGGACCACACCTCACTCATATAACAGTCTGTGAGAATTACTACACCGTGAGGCCCTGATACACCATCTGTGAGTACCATCATAGCACCATCTGAGGAAATTACTACACCACGTGAGGCCCTCATAACACCCTCTGTGAGGGAATTACTATCACGTGAGGCCCACATTGGGAGGGTACTACACGCGTGAGGCCCCTCATAACACCATCTGTGAGGGAATTACTACACCACGTGAGGCCCTCATAACACCATCTGTGAGGAATTACTACACTTGAGGCCCACACCTGTCTGTGAGGGACATAGGCAACATCTGTGAGGGAACTACTACACCACGTGAGGCCCCGCATACCATCTGTGAAATTACTACACCACGTGAGGCCCTCATAACACCACCTGTGAGGGAGGCCTCATAACACTCCTGTGGAATTACTACACCACGTGAGGCCCCTCATAACACCATCTGTGAGGGAATTACTACACCACGTGAGGCCCCATAACACCATCTGTGAGGGAATTACTACACCACGTGAGGCCCTCATACACACCATCTGTGAGCCTACACCACGAATCTCCACGTGAGGCCCGTATAACACCATCTGTGAGGAATTTACTACACCACGTGAGGCCCCTCATAACACCACCTGTGAGGGAATTACTACACCACGTGAGGCCCCTCATAACACCATCTGTGAGGGAATTACTACACCACGTGAGGGCCCTCATAACACCATCTGCGAGGGAATTACTACACCACGCCAGGTCCCTCATAACACCATCTGCGAGGGAATTACTACATCACGTGAGGTCCCTCCTAACACCATCTGGGAGGAGCTACACTACGTGTTTGCTGTTCAACACCTACATTAATCTGTATGTTCACTGTATGTTCCTTTACCTTTCTCTAATGAAGGCTTTTGTTAAACCACCAATGTATGTAATAAGTCATTTATGTCCAATGTATATTTTCAGCCTCGGGCTGCAGAACTTTTCAATAAACCGTTAATTATTATTACACACACACACACACACACACACACACACACACACACACACACACACACACACACACATCCTTGACTACAGACGGGTCAGACGCTCCTGGCGCTGCTCAGCAGCAGCCACGTCAACTGTTATGTTGGCCCATACCAACTCCCTCCCCTGAACCCTCCTCCCCACCGGAATATCAACAAGTTCTCGCCAGAAGTTACTATTTCATTTGGGAAAGGAATGGAACCAGTGTTGAATAGTGGTGAACAGTGCTTAAGTCAGTGAAAAACAACTCGGCAGTTGAGTCTCACCCAAGCTAACCTTCGCACAGTGAGGTACCAGGTACCCAGTGATAATTCCCCTGAGACTCCATGATAGAAAGGCCTGGGACCACACCTCACCCACTTGAGTGAGTGAAGTCCTGTGACAACAGCCCACGTTTTGTCCCCATGATGCTACGACACCACATAGTGAATGAGTTGCTACAGCATCATGTGAAGTTCCTCATAACACCATCTGTGAGGGAATTACTACACCACATGATATCCCTCATAACACCATCTGTGAGGGAATTACTACACCACATGATGCCCCTCATAACACCATCTGTGAGGGAATTACTACACCACATGATGCCCCTCATAACACCATCTGTGAGGGAATTACTACGCCATGTGATGCCCCTCATAACACCATCTGTGAGGAAATTACTACACCACATCAGGCCCCTCATACACCATCTGTGAGGGAGTTACTACACTACGTGTCTGCTGTTCAACATCTCAGCTCACGTGATCTGTGTGTGTAAACATTAATCTGTATGTTCCTTCACCTTTCTCAAATGAAGGCTTTTGTTAAACCACCAATGTATGTAATAAGTCATTTATGTCCAATGTATATTTTCAGCCTTCGGGCTGCAAACTTTTTCAGTAAACCGTTTATTATTATTATTATTATTATTATTACACACACACACTTTCTATTGACTCCTACAAATACTCTCTCACCCTGTCATTTTCCTTTCATTTATGATTTTCCTCTCCATATCCAGCTATCAGTCTGTTTACTAATGAACCTAAATATTCATGTGCTACCGAACCCTACAAGTCAGTCTTTTTACTTTCTTGAGGAAACAGATTTAAAAACCTACTTTCTGCCATATAGTATTTTACCAAACATACTGTATTGAATGATTGATAGTAAAGAAGATACACTAATTCATCGGGAAGGAATACTGTAGTTCAGACACATTTGAGACTTCTTGATTGGTTAGAAAAATATACATACAGTCATGCGCCGGTTAACGTCCTAGATACGTTTTTGGAAACATGACGTTAACCGAAATGGACGTTGTCCGAAAGTACAGAACCTATGGAATTTATTCTAATTGGTTCCAGGCACTAAACCTCAAGTTTCCCATTTTACGACCATTTAGACCCACTATATATATATATATATAATGTTATGGTAAGTATCATAAACACATAGGCATGGCTAGGTTTATTACAAAGTGATGAAAAGGATACACTCAATACTGTACAGTGGGTAGTCCACAAAACATGTAGCCATGTCTATCTTTATTTGAGTGCCCCATCATAGGAGTCCGTTTTCTCTCGCTTCAGGACGTTGTTTGGTTGGACGTTAACCGGCGCATGACTGTATTATAATAAAGAGCCTAGTAGGGGATTTTAACATTAATAATTTGAATTTTTTTCCAATATGAAATAATTGGTTAAGAGACAATAAATGAATGATCTCAGATACATGTGGGCTCTACTTGCAGAAGCCAAAATAAAAATTAAAACTGCTGTTACATGTTATAATATATATATTTTTTCCATTGCAGCTGGTTAGGTGGTACAGTGAAAGTGACATAAGCGCTGATAATCCAGAAAGGGAGCCTGTTTGCACGGCTGACCCAAGCACTCCCGGTAATGTCTCATTACACAACCACCAATCACAGCTCTTCTTCAGTTACCACACACCTGCCAGGATACCTGTAAGTTCAAGTAACAATGTTGTAGAAATGCCAAACTCTTTTCACATACAAGTACAGTACAATGCTTAAACCCCCAGTTACACAATGCCTGTAAGTTTTAAACCGTGTGTTTATACATTTCACCATGAACATACACTAGCTTTACCATTTAAACACATATCTTTTCACTTTCTAGATGCAAAGTCTTTTTGGGAAAAAAATCAAAATAAAATAAAATAAATATATGCCCGACCTATTACTTTGCGTTTCAGCACAATTGGTCAAAATATAGATTTTGCTCAAATTTCATTTCAAGGTACAGGGTACTGTACTATACAGTATTTGCTTTTGCATTGCAACTAAAATTTGTATCATCACATAATTTTCAACTCTGCTTCCAACAAATTGTACCAGTTTTCTTCATCATAGTGTACTTTCCAGGCTGTATCATGTCAAGGTTTTGGGATATCAGGCAACATACTAGAAAATGGTGGTGACTTCTTATCCAAAATTACCTTGAGAAAATTACCGACAGCTAATATTTCTTATAAAAATGTACCATAAATTGTCTCCAGCTACTGTTTATATTTTTCGTTAGCTATCCTTCTAGTATTCAGTGTTTGGCCTACAGTATTTTAATCTTTTGAACTACAGGTTGACAATCCCTTATCCGAAATCCTTGGGGCCAGACGCATTTCGGTTTTCGGAATTTTTCGGATTTCAAAATGGTTAGGTTAGGGTTTTTTTACAGGGATCAGCCCACCCGGACACAGGTCACTGACCCACATTGAGGCCTGGGAAGCGAAAATATAATAATAATTATAATAATATCAATAATAATAATAATTATAATAATATCAATAATAATAATAATTCGGAGGTCTACGTCATGTTTCTCACCTTTGATCTTTTTTTCATTCTTGTATTTCTTTATTATTATTATTATTATTATTATTATTATTATTATTATTATTAATAGTATTTTATTATTACAGTATTATTATTATTATTATTATTAATTTTATTATAATTATATTTTTGTTATCATTATTATTTTATTTTGGTGTATTTTTATAAATTTTATTTACTATGAATAATTATTTTTATTATTATAATTACAATTGCAATTACAATTACAATTACATTTTCGCCCCCCAGGCCCCGAGGTTTTCGGATAAGGGGTTGTCAACCTGTATCAACATTATTTTCTCCTTCCATACTCAAACCATCGTCTGATCGACACAACCCAGTTCATCCCGGCAGCTGACTCACAGACATGTGACAGCCACGCTGCTCTCTGTGCATGCTATGATGTCACATCCAGAGGGAGTGCGGCCACACAATTATAGCCCACTGCCTCCACACATGTTCAGTTCCCACACATACACAACCATGCCTTTAATTTTACTTATTTTATAATTTTATATTGTATTATATTTTAATTATTTCTAAGCACATCATTTATATGCAGTGGAATGAGTGTTAAATAAATCCGTTTTCCACAAATTCGTGCATTTTAACCCTCACAGCCTCACACGACACCATTGTGGCGTCGAACATAAAAGGCAAAAAAACTTACGCTCAGCCTCTCGACGCCATATCCAATGGGCTAGTTTTTCAAATAACTCAAAACTATTCAGTGAAACTGACTGAACTTTGGACGCCATTTGACAGACGTCGTTTTTTTGTGTGGGCCTTATAACCTTCCCCGAGACCGTCTTGGTCATCGTGTGAGTGGCAGCACAGCATGAAGCCAGTGTTGCTCTGGCCATTAGAGTGAGAGGAGGGTGTGCCACTTGGCCCTTTAATTATTCCATGAGTTTTTTATATTATTTTTCCTTATACCATGATATTCTACATGCTCTGTTCTTTATTTTGGTATATAATAAATATCAATGAACACCACAATACAGGGAAAATGTGAATGGAATTCGAGATGTACTAAACATTTTCCTACTTTTTCAACGTATACTCTAAGAAAGTGGCTTAAATTTCAAGAATGTTCAATATTTGTATTCTTTTTTTGTTTCATACAATTTTTCAGACAATTTTATGCTAGAAGAGACCCCATTACAATTAATAAAACAATTCCATGGCAGTGAAATGAGCCCTAAAAAAATATATTTTTGTTCAGTCCAGAATGTGACGCCTAGCTTATACCTAGGTATGTTAATGCCTAGCAATAACTCGCCAGGCCAACATACAGGCAATTAAAACATCTAATAATTACTTAAAAGTAATATTAGGAGGACACGTCGCGACCTAGCATTTAATTGCAATTCTCAAACCCCCTCCTTCACCCCCCACTATACGCATCACGACCCTCATCTCTTGCCTCAGAGAGAGCAGTAATAAAAAATCAACTCATGAAGGGTCGAGATGGGTGGGTTATGGACGTCGCATTCGAGCTATATCACAAAAACTGTTTTTTAGAAAAAAACGTCTTTTTGTTCAAGCTCTTAATGCAACGTCAGCAAGAATACCCGAGCAGGAGGTGGAGAGGGAGGTGACTTTGCATACAAGGCTCCGCTGACAGGTCCCTATTATATTATAAACCGTTTTGAACATTTCCAAAATTAGGAACATTTACCGGAAGGTAAAAATGTTAATTTACTCAAAAAGGATACTCACTTTATTCTGATGAGGAAGAAGGTCCTGGTAGTTGAGATTTACTAGATGGGGGGAGGGGAACCCAGCACCACCACATCTGAAGCATCTCTCAGAGATAGATAAAGATAGCTGTCTTTGAAAGTTTTTGAAGATCTCCAAAAGCCCATTTCCTTGATCTGACTGAGACTCATGTGCCGCAGAAAAGCCACAGACCCTGCATATTTCCTAGTGTCATGTGCCAAAAATTTCTTGCCAGGGTCTGCTTGATTCACTAATTGAGATAAGGATTTTGTCAATTGACTAGGAGATAATTTCTTACCATCCCTTGATGAGAAAACATAAGGGCCTTGATTAGGGAATCTGGTTAACCATTCCTGAAGATTTTTAACTGGACACAATATGTGAGGAACCCTAGTTTCATCCATTAGACGTTTTATCCTAATAGGTTGAGCTTGGAAATCTTCCCTTTCATTTTTTCTTAGGATCTCCGTAGGAAAAAGGATAACATCCTCGTCAGAAAATACCAATAATGATGGATTATTGGAAATTGAAATCAGTTCACTGATTCTCATACCCGTTGCTATTGCTAGAAGGAAAGCTGCCTTCTGGAGTAATTTATCCCTGTTCAGATTTATATTGTAATTAGGCCCCATAAGAAGATTAGTAACTTTTTCCAGAGACCAAGGCGGGATTCTCTTGGGTCGAGGAGGTCTCTGAATGAAAAAGGACGATCTTAGCATTTGATAAATCCTTGGGTTCAAGGTAATATTAAAACCCCAAGCCAGAGGGTCAACCAACGCTGATTTATAAGATGCAATTGTCGATCCTTGAAGGCCTTTAACTCTGAACAGAAATTCTAAAAATTCTAATACAACTGTTTCCGATAATGAATCCGGAGTTGTTAACTTGATAAATTGTTGAAAAAGATTCCAAGCTTTCTCATATTGAATAGAAGTTTGGGGTCTATGACCTGCTAATACTTGGTTAGCTATATTGGAATTACCCAACAACCTATTTAAACTTTTTTTTTGAGAAACTCCAAGCGTGAAGTGCCAAGGATATCTCGAACTGAGAATGAAGTACCTGGTCTATACATCCTTGTTGCAATTGTAGAGGATTCGGGCACCAGTCCAGTAGATCCAGGTTACCAAGGTTGTAGGATCCAATATGGTGCAATTAAGAGGACTTTGCCTCCATCGTCATTATTTTTTAAGAACAAGGGAGACAGGTCAGACTAAGGCAACTATAATGGGATCTCACTGCTGTCCGTAGCTGGCAAGATTATCACCCGAGTCCTCCTAAACAGACTCCTTCCTGAGGCGGAAAATTTCCTCCCAGAATCTCAATGTGGCTTTAGACCGACACGTGACAGCCAATAACATGATCTTTGCTGCCCGCCAGATACAGGAAAAGTGTAGAGAACAGCATCGTGTCCTGTACATGGCTTTCATCAACCTAACCAAGGCCTTCGACTCATAGAAGGTGTAAAGTCCATTTCAACATAACTAGATTGCTATGAAGACCGAAAGGTCAACATTCCGGAAGGAACGCTAAGTCTAGCAGCCTCGCTAAAGTTCGCCTGGAAAGGCTGAACCCGCTACTGAGGACATCAAAAAATAAAGTTATGAAGAGACAAACTCAACCCTGGCCTTTTTGCTGAGAACAAATAGAAACCCAAGGGCGGAAGCCCAAAGGTTTTTGTGAACGAACATAAGAGTAGGGAGAGAGATAGTCATGGTGTTCATATTAGCACGTGAATAATTGGGACAAAGAGATCGTAAACAATATACATATATATGTATATATAAATAGATATATTCACATATTCTCTTTTAGTGAAGACGAGCCCGGGAGGGTGCAGCAACATTCACTGAGTGATTTAAAGGCAAGGGATAGTCACAACGCCAAACGACTCACAAAGAAAATGTGTTTTGGTCGCCATGCTGACCAAAGATCGTAAAAGAAAATGTCCCAAATACAATAAATGGGAGACAACAAAATAAAAGTCACTCTACTTCATCACTGTGCTATTAAGTACAAAAACGGTATATAATATCCTTGCTGAGGTGAGTATTTCAGCAATTAGAACAAAAATTCGCGGAGCTTCCCTTTGTGTGTATTATAGCTGAAGCGCCAGGCAAGAGATGAGGGTCGTGATGCGTATAGTGGGGGGTGAAGGAGGGGGTTTTGAGAATTGCAATTAAATGCCAGGTAGCGACGTGTCCTCCTAATATTACTTATTAAGTAATTATTAGATGTTTTAATTGCCTGTATGTTGGCCTGGCGAATTGGCTTTGAATTAACATACCTAGGTAGCATTTGCTGACGTTGCATTAAGAGCTTGACCAAAAATGTATATTTTTCAACGATTTTTTGGCAAAAATCTCCGAGGCTGAGCATAAGTTTTCATG